CGTCGCGTCGCTTTTACATCGATCGGGCCCGGGGCGCTCTCCTGAAGCGATTTGCTTCGGGGAAACAACGTGGATGGATTTGGAAAGGCGCGTCCGACAGCCTTTTCCGGGAGCTCCCCTCCCCTCCCCTCCCCAGCCGCCCGGCCGGGTAGCTGTTTCGGCGCGGGCGAAACCGAAGCGATCCAAACTCGCCGCCGGAGCCTGGCTCTGCGGGGTTTCGCAAACTCGCTTCGTGCTATTTTTAGCTCGCCGGCCGGGTTGTTTTCTCCCCTCCGACTGGGTTTACTTCTTTCTCAAAACCAACCCCCCCCAAACCCTCCTTAGGGAAGGCAATCAAACGCTTCCAAAAATCGGATTTTGATGCCAATCGAATCCAACTCAAAGACATCTCTCCCGGCGGCTAGCGAGAGCCGGGAGAGCCGTGTAAACACACACACAAACACACACGGGGCAAACCGGAGCGCCGGGGTAGCTATTCGGCAAAGAGAAGGGGTTAAAACGTGGGGATTTCGGAAAGCCAGAAAGGCTGCGGCGCACAAGTGCCGAGAATCAATGTAAATTTCACTACTCACAGGAATACTGGATGCTTTCGGTGCTGGCCAGCCAACGCGTATAGGGATTATCAGTGCTATCATAAAAAGGGTTCTTCAAAGGCAGCGTCTGCACACCCTCCAGGGGGCTTTGCCCCAACACTCCGGATTTCTTGGGGGGCTCCGAGCCCTCGGTCTCTTCATCCGCTCCTTCCACGAGAGATCCTTCTTCATCATTGGTGTCTGGGAGATCCAGGATGTCCTTTACAGAAAACCCCGTCTTTGTGTTGGTCAGAGACATATTCTGGCTAAATTTATGCAGGAAAGTTGAAGGACCCGTTTGTCAATCCGCCGGGGCACAAACCCCCACACACACCCCGCCAACCGACACCACACACCCCAGAAAGAGGATGTGTGTGTGTGTGTGTGTGTGTGTGTGTCTTGGGAGGGGGGTTAGAATCAAAATAAAGAAATCTGCTTTGAGGCGGGGGGAGACGAGGAAAAATCGGCTGGGAGGTAGAAATATTTTACAGACTTGCTCTGCCGCAGAGGGGGGAAAAAAATCGCCGAGCGCCAGGGGCGGCTGCCTTCTGAAATAGTTTGTAACTCCAGGAAAAATGCCAAGCGGCCGTTTACTTCAGGGTCTCGTTTAAACCCAGGGCGCTGCTGCCTGTCGCTTGGGGAAAACAAGCCATCGCTGGAGAGGAGAGTCCATGGAAGGTTGGTCTCCACATATGAACCTGCAGAGAGGAGGGAAACAAACACATTAAACACGCCAAAGGTTGGCCACGTGTGGGTAGGTGCTAGGAGTCAAGTGGATGAAGACAGTGCTTGCAGATGTGAAATTGCGGGGTTTGGGGGAGATCGGAGCCTCCACCATTGGTTCTGTAGCACATGATGAGTGGTATAACGTGTCAATTAATTACCAAGCTAGGGAGGGCCTTTCTCCACGGTATTTACATACAAAGGAGCGCCAAGAAGCCCGAGATGCCGCACACTTGAAAGCCCGTTTTAAAACAAATTGCTTCTCCAAAAAGACTGCGGATGAAACCTGCTTCTGCAGCCGGCTGGGAAAGGGGCTATTTACAGGGACTTTTGCAAGGAAATCGATTCCCATTCTGGGTGGCTACCTACCCAAGATGGCAGGAGACCAACTTATGTAAACCTCCTAGGTCAATATTTTGGTTGAGGCTTAAGGCTGAGTACTATAAATTAAACAGCAAGTAATTGATTCTCGTTTGCGCCGAAAGCAGCCGGACTGGTAAACCGTGTCATCCGTCGGTACCCAGACGGACTCGGGCGATTTCTGGGGGTTGTTTGCAGAGAAACTAATTTATTTCGCCCTCTCCTCTCCCCAGCAAGACCACTTGTTCGTGCGGACTGAGGCGCAGCATTTAGAAGTAGGTCTTAGAAAGGGGATGCAGCCAGCTAATGTAGGTGCTCCATTTGGAGGGTTGCTTTTAAGGAGAGACTTTAGAAGTGGATCTCTCTCTCTCTCTCTCTCTCTCTCTCTCTCCCACACACACACACACACACACACACACACACACACACACACATATACAAACATGCTATCGAGACAGACACAACGCAGCGCCTACATTTTGAAAGCCAGCCTTTCCAAACAGCCTGTTTCGCACGTCTCCACTGCGCATTGTTTTATTGTGCGCCCTATTTTGCACGTCTAGAGTACGCATTATTTTATTTCCAAATTTCACCCTCCCCCTTCCGCCCTCCGCAGCCTTAAATCCCTGTGGACGCTCTCATTCCGGGAGGGAGATGGAGACAGAGTTAATCGAAGCCGGTTTAGCTCGTTCTCCACGGGCGCCTGATTTCCATACACTTCCAGTCCACCGGGTTTGGTGCAGTTCGGAGGTCTGCCCTGTCTTAGGTCTGTTCCTGACCCACCGAGTGACCTGCCCGATTGTTTCTGTCCTGTGATATTTGGGTGGGGGATTTGGTGTGTGCGTGTGTAGGACAAGACAACCGGAGGCGTCGATCCTGGATGAGTTTTGCTCTTTCCAGGGATCTCTTGGGTTTTTTTTGGGGGGGGGGTGAAAAATGGGGAGTGAAACCTGAGCTCTGTAGATCTCCCGTTCTCCCCCACACTTTTGGGGATGACCAGAGGAATAGAGGTTGCCTCGACTTCCCCTCCCGAGAACTGTGCGTGCCTCAAGGAGGCGCTGGGGTGGGAGGTGGGGGTGAACCGAAGCGGCCCCGCGATTTATTAGTGTTGATCAGTTTATTTTGCTGTCCCTCGCCCTGCCTCCCATCTCGTATGTGATGTGGGTGACAATGCCGGAGGGGTTTAGCCAGGCCCTGGGCGCATCATGGGTGGTCGGACCCGGGCAAACACAAATACAAACCGATTGCTAAGCTGCGGACAATGGGCGAAATGTAGACAAATGTCCGGCTTCTGTTGGAAGCCTTTGTCCGAGCCCCGTTTTTGCATTTATTTCAGGGGCGAAATAATACATGATTGACGCCCCTTTTCACTGTGTCCTAACTGTTTGGAATAAATCGGAGGTTGTTGCTAGTTGTCATGGCATTCAACTGCTTTCAATGGACTATCTCTTCATTCATTTCGGGAGGCTGCCACAATATTAAGGAAACCGCTTCATGCTGATGCTCCCCGACTCCTCTTTCC